GATAGTTTGTTTTTGCAACATGTTTTACTGAGAAAGAATTCGATACACTACTCACTGACTGGTTTACTTGTTACACACTTAAATACGAAATGCTGTCTACTACCTCGCCGTACTCTCCTCACATAGCAAGGGACTTGTTGTTCGAAAGTCTTGGCGTTGATACTGCTGTTGAAGTTTTTGCCAAATCATTGGAGAATTCATTAGAAGCTAATGAGAATTTAAGGATTGTACAGAAGAAATATGCAGATATGGTTCATGATAAACCTGCAGTAACAGATAAATACATAGTGGACCGATTAGCAGAAATGTATCCTTTAGATATGGAAAGACTAGTCCAAACGGAGGTTGCCAACGTTGTCAAAATTACTAGGAGCATATCAAACTTGTTAAGCTTTCACAAACCACCAATGCAAGGTTGTCTATGTCAAGACACTAAAACTATCGTAAGGAAATTGTGCATGGACCTAGACAATTATTGCTGCTCAAGATGGAAAGAAAAGTCGTCGTATATAGATTCATTTGGCAACTTCGTCCACATTTCCCTCGTGTTTTTTGTGTCTCACAATTTAATTGGAGTTGCATCTAGAGGAACATCCACAACTAGAACCAACAGACACATATTCAACTTCATAGCGGCAGATCACATGATCGTGTCAGAGAGGAAGGAAGAAAATTTTAACTCTTCTGATTTAATGTTGATTCCTATAAAACAATTCTGCGTGCGCACATTGCTGCTCGGGCGTTTCCTGTTTCCGCGAGCTGATTTTAGTGCTAGTGTTGAAATCGTTTGGGCTTCCCATATTGTTGACATGCAAATCGAACCGTTATTAAGGTTCACCCATCACAAAGCCGATGAAGAAATGCGGTTTGATATACATGGTACTCGCCTGTATAAGAGGGTCGATGTGGCAGCCTCAAAGGACGGAGAAGTTGCCGTTATCTTTGAGATTAAACTTGGAAGCCTAAAGAAGTTTTACACCGCACTGAGTTCTGACAGTGAAGTCATCAACCAAATGTTGTTATCCATGTGTGCTGCTAAGATTAAAGAGGCCATTTTAATAACTCCAGATATCATGGTCATAGTGGAATACAAAGGTATAGGAAATCATCTCGGTATCAAGAAGGTTCAGTTAGATATTCAAAAATTCTTTGACAGGAACCATGAGGAAATAAATCGTATGGGTGTCTTATATTTGTGGTTATCAAAGAAAGAAGACCTCCAAATGCTGGATAAGGATGCGGGTGAGCTCAATGGTTTTTTGGTCAAACAATCTACACCGATTGAAGATGCTTGTATGGAGAGAGAAGGTGGCCTCGCTGGAAATGAAGCCTTTGCTGTTGAAGATACAGCTTGTGATACACAACAGGCAGATACCGCTGGTGAAACTGAAGGTGTTTTGTCAGAGGCTAAAGGATCCATTACCAAAAAATTCTTTAAGGGAATGCATTTGCATAAACGTGATCGCACAGAGATATCGAGATCCTCCTTCAGAAGTACGATTGGAAAATGGAAGGTACATAAATGAATTATTTTAGTGGTGCGTATGCATTGGTTTCAATTGGGTTGAAACGTAGTTAGTTCGCTTGTTTTAGTGGTGTGTGTTGCAATGATATCTAATTTCTCTATAACTTGCCATGGTTGGTGAAGGAAATGTGTGCTGTAGTCAATATTCTCGAGGGACTATATATTTACATTTTTTTTCATGGCTGAAAGTGATGCTAAATTCTGCAACAAGGTCACTTCGTTTGTCTTCTCGTTTAAGCTGCAAAATAAATAAATAAAAATGTTGACGTTTTAACCCCAACTCCCACGGTTTAGTTACTATATGCAGGATATACAAGGGAATCTTAACAGAAAAATTGTTTTAACCGAGAATGCTACCAAATGATATAACCAAAAAATATTTTGCACAGCCAAAACCTTTCCCATTGTTTTCTTCAGAGATAAGCTGCAGTAGGTCTAAAAAACAAACATCCACTTTTATTGTACCCCACTTTTAAGCCAAAAGCAAAGTGGCGGTTATTTCCTAAACAGGTGTGATAAGAACCGTCCGATGCCGAAAATTAGACAAACTGATAACCGATGGCATCTTTCTTTCTGTCTCTTATAAAACCAACATGAATGTATCAAATATGTAGATCTCCATTGAAAAATAGCTTTTGCTGAATTTACAACAACTCAGCCTATCCAAAAACCATGATTGAAGCTATAGCCAAACCATTTACCATATTGCGGAATGCCCTCTGGGGAAAATCACCTTCGGACCCTAAAGAACGACGATATTTATTCAAACTAGACGTGTTTGTGCTCACATATGTATGTCTTCTTTACTGGGTCAATTACCTAGATCGCGCCAATGTAGCAAATGCATACGTATCGGGTATGCAAGAAGACTTGGGATTGTCTGGTGACGACTTTAATGTCATCAACACGATATTCTATGTTGGATACATTATTTCAATGGTTCCTCACAACTTGATCTTGCTTAAAGTTAGGCCGCGGTACTGGCTAACTATTTGTGCTGGTGTTTGGTCAATTCTTACTTTAGCTACATACAAGGTTACCCATTTTTATCAAATTTGTATAATTCGGTTTGTGCAAGCAATGTTTGAAAGTTGTATATTTGGCGGAGTACATTTAATTTTGGGTTCATACTACACTGATGCTAGGGACTTGATTATACGAACATTTGTATTCACATCGAGTGGTTTAGTAGGGCAAATATTTTCTGGTGTGATACAAGCAGCAGTGCATCAAAACATGGATGGGTGGCATGGATTGGCAAGCTGGAGGGTATTGTTTATCATGGACTTTTTTTGCAGTTTCCCTATTGTTATATTCGGTTACATATTCTTTCCTGATGCGCCAGATATTGGCAAACCATTTTACTTTACAGAGGAAGAACATCAAATGGCCTTAGAGAGATTGGTCAAACCCAAGCATGACAAGTTTGGATGGGACGTACTTTGGCGGGTGTTTGGAAAGTGGCACTGGTATTTATTTGGCATGTTATGGATTGTTGGTGCAATAAATGAATCATTTGCAACCAATAGTGTGTTTGCATTGTGGTTGAAGTATTACGACTATTCGGTTCTGGAAAGAAATCATTTCCCCATGGGTGTATATGCTGTTGGTGTATTGGCTACTGCTGCGTCGGCGTATTACATAAGAAGTGTTGGTAATGGTAAACTTTACTGGCACATATCATTAGCTATTGCGCTCATTGTGTTGATATCACCAATTATCCAGCTTTGCCAGCCATTTACAAAAGAGTATGTGTTTGTTGCCCAATACTTGAGTGGGGTGTCTTATGCAGCACAAACAGTATCCTTTGGTTGGGCCAATATTATATGCGCTGATGACTTACAAGAACGTGCAATAGTGATTAGTTCTATGAATATGTTGGGAAACATCATGAATGCATGGTGGTCTATAGTATTCTTTGCTGCTGATACTGCGCCAAAGTTTCGCAATGGTGCTATTGCGCTAATCAGCTCATCTGCCGCTACAGTTATTGTTGTTGCAGCAATTGCTTGGCTACAAACGAGAGACGAAAGGGCAGTGGGTGGTTTGGTGAAGCAAATGGACTATGAGGGGATGGCAGAGGAAATCACCACTGAAAAAGGTAATGATAAAGCAAACCCAAATGTAAGCACTAGCTAACTCTCTCTGCGGAGAACCAAATAAAAACTACACAATAAACAAAAATTAGTAGTACGTGCTCTCTAAATCAAACACTCGATAATATAAAGACTCTATTGAATTAATTGTTACCAAATAAACCTCTGCCAAGTTTACCGAAAATGATTATCCCACAAAAAAAGAAACTTCCTATCCACAACCACAATGCAATCACATCATCTGATGTTTTGGAATACCCATTGACAAACTTGTGATTTTGTGAGTATATGCTGACACATGCGACAGAAGATACGAGCAACGATGCTAAGAATCCTGAGATGGTTCCATCCAACAATAACCACAAACCTGGATTGATTAAAGACCATATGATGGACACTTGAAGGAAGCTGCTCCATTCAATCTTACGTATAGCATAGCTGATACCCAAAAATGTGATACCTGATCTGATCAAATCACTGGAAACATTGGATTTGGACGAAGGATTGGGATTTGATGACAATAATCTTCTGGAGAAAATTTTGGGCAAGATTCTGTCGAGAATCGGATGCAACGAGGCCATCAATAGTCCTTGTAAAGTCAACGCCAATACCTCATCACCAACCTTTATAAGGTCATCGTTTATCTCAATGTAGTTTCCCACTTTGAATTTTGAAACAAACGCGTAAAGGAATATGTGTGTTATTGTTAATGGGTAGTTTACCAATTGATTTTCACTAAAGTGATTGTAGTTTATATGCCTGATAACCTGATTGTATATATATGCAGAACTGGCTAAAATAACCAACTTTAATGGTAAAGGGAGTGAATACAATGTCAATTTATTAGTGTCTTCAGTTTGCACTGGGGGTTTTGTCCCTTTTGCTTTAACTTTATCAGAGTCTAAAACTGTAAAATCAAGCAACGACGAGTCATCAATGTCTTTATTGTAATCAACAAATGAGTCGCCTTCGTACATGCCATACAATTCAGGGCGAGTTAAATTAATCTCGGAGTCTGTCTTTCCCATTTGATCTGGTCTTGGGCTTGAGTTTCCCAGTTGTGGTGGCGCTTGAGAAGCTTCCATGCCCTTTATGTTTGTATTTGACAATGCAATTCGTCTAAGATCAGACATGGTGTAGTTGAATTTTGAGGTAGTGTTTTGGGGAAGTATGCCGTGGCAAAGCAAAATAAAATTGATTGCTGGAGAGGGAGCCGGAGATAATAGGGTTGATTGAATTGAATTAGGGTGGGCAATTGTAATTGATTGAAATACGTAGGTACTCAAGTTGTATGCCACTGGTGGATAATGTAATATCTATAAATAAGCAACTAATTTGCGGTGATCAAATTGTGTTGTTGTTTGTATAAATTCTTCTGATGATATTTTTTCTTACTCAAAGGAGAAAAAGTTGGTGGAAAGATCTTTTTATTGTTTATTTCAGTAGAATGTCACAAAGAGGGGAAACGCGACAATCAACAGCGTCATTCACCTTTTGGAAAATATCAAAGCTACTATGGGTTGGTGATATGTGTTTACTTGCCATTCAATTTGTCGTCTAACCATCATTTAAAGTGGGCTTTAGTTGCATTATGTGAGATTTGAAGGTTACTAGTACAGGTTGACCTGACTTCAAGTACAAAATTTACAACCTGACCATGACAGATGCTCTGTTTACACAAAAAATTGTTGCGTAACACGATTCTGATATGCTCCCTTCTGCTCGTGTTGCATAACAAACTTTCTCAATTAACTCACAAATTTGATCGTATTATCAAAATCTATACGACAAACAGGTTACTTTCTCATTTTGCACAAAGCTGCCAAAACGCTGGTGCTTAATTTTCTGACTTTAGACTCTCCTTAGAACCCCTGAGCTGCATCAAAAATTATGATAACACACCCTTGATAGGAACAGAATCCTTCATCTTAGAACTTTCCACGGGGAACAAGATTGAGTTTTTCTCTTCACCTCACAAGTGGTGCAAACCGATGGAAATTCAGAATTTATATTCGATTTGAGAATATTACGTAAGTGATTAGCTAATATAATTATAAAACCAAATCAAAATAAAAGACAACCCATAGTTAAACTTCTTTTCTACAAAGAGAGTTGAAAAGGGTCTTTAATCGTTCCAACTACACATTCACCAATAGCACTACTTATCAATCTGTATAAAAAGTATGTCCCAGCAACAGGAACTACCGAGTAATAACTACTTTGAAGAAAACGAGGACCTCGAACTACACTTGAGCGACCTGGAGGATGACGCAAAGATTGACAAGGCCCTTACCGAATTGGATATGTCAGACATGGGCATTGAAGGCAATGAGTTAGACGATGATGATGACGATGCTGAACCCCTATTTATACCTTCGGATGACGAGGATGATGATTTCAAAGTAATCTCTGACGAAGACGATTACGATGATGAGTACAATTTCAAAGATGCCCTTAAAGGTGCTAGCAACTTCAAAGTAAGAAATAGAAGGGAGAAGCTTTCCAAGAATAACAAGTCATACTACAGGAAGCGAATGATGAGGGCGGATAATCGTGACCTAGATCCCGAAGTTCGGATGAATTTGTCCCTTGCAAATGAAGCTTTTGTTCGTAATGACTTACAAGTTGCCCAACAACTATACGTCGATGTTATCAAGAGAGACCCAAAGAATTTCAGTGCTTATAAGGCGATTGGAGAAATTTACAAAAGTCAAGACAAGCTAAACGAATGCTGTAGTTCTTGGCTTTTGGCTGCTAATTTGCATCCTTGGGACAGTGATTTTTGGGGACAAGTAGCCGAACTTTCAAACGAATTGGGTCACATTGACCAAGCTATCTACTGTTATACTAGAGCAATTACCTCCGATACCAAGCGAAGCGCCAATTTCATCCTTGAAAGGGCACTTCTTTATAAAGAAAAACGACAGTTTGGTAAAGCGTTAGATGGATTTCAGAAAATTCGCCAATTATACCCCCAAGACACCAACATTATAAAATATTTGGCGGGAGTGTATCTGGAACAGAAGCGTTTAAATGACGCAATCAACTTGTACATGCGAATTTTAGATCAAAACATAAATCCTGATCTGGACAGTGAAGAACAGTACCCAAAATTTGATTGGCCAGAGTTGAACATTTTATTGGAGCTACACGTTCAGCATCGGTCTCTAAAACTTGGTGTGAATGTATTGAAACTAGCAGCAAGGTGGATCCAAGGTAGGATGGAAGAAACGTGGTGGGACGAAAACGATGATTCCGAGTTTGATTCCAAGAGGCGATTCAAGAAGTTGAGTCATTTAAAAGCTCGTGATTTGGCAGACTTTAAATCAAAGCCATATGATCTCCCAATTGACATACGATTCAAGTTGGGAATCCTTCGATTGGGATTGGACCAAAAGGAAGAGGCAATGCATCACTTTGAGTATCTATTGGATGACAACCAGGCAGAAATTGCCGACTTGAATTTTGAGGCAGGGAAACAGTTGCAAGAGTTTGGCTACTATGACGAAGCATTGACATTTCTCACACGCGCTTTTGGTAATGAGGATCTAGTCTCGAGTTTTGACTTGGTTACATTGTTGGGGAAATGTTATTTTGAAATTGCTGATTATGTTGAAGCAAGGGAAGCTTATGAAGAGCTATTGAGCCATTCTCCTGATAATGTAGATTTCAAGTTGGCGTTGGCCGAGACTTTGTATCACTTGGGCGATGATACACAAGCCGAAGCATTAATTAATGAAGTGCAGATGGCTAACCAAAAGAGCCTACAAAAGAGCAAGTCACTTGATGAGCCAAGTGGAGCTGAAGGGTTTTCCTTGATTAGAAACAAAATCAGGAAAACACCAAAGAGGGCTAAATTGTCGGAACAAGAGAAGGAAGAAATAGAAGCTAATGCCAAGAGGAAAGTGTTGGAAAAGTATAGTCGAATGGAAAGGTTACAGGAGTCTATGAATTCAGGTGACCGTGTAGCTATTGCAGCTTGGATCCAGTTGGCGTCGCAATTGATTGAAATGTTTACTAGTATTAAAAGCTTTTTCCCAAAAGACAGATCAAAGAGGTTCAAGGGTATTATAAGGTATCGTACCCGCAAGGACATTGATTTGGATGAAAAACTAGCCCGTGCTTATAACCTATTAGAGGGGTTCAATCTGGAGGAAACGTTTACTCGTCAAACTTTGGTGTCCAAAACTGACTTTAGAGGATTAACCTACGACCAATGGTTTGATATATTTGCTCAATTTGGTCTAGTCATGTCCAAGTACGAAAACAATACCGAATATGCAGATGATATTATAAATATTGCGTTGTCAGTAAACATATTTGTTCATGACAAGAGCAAAGATGCCATGTTGCGACTATTGAAACTCATGTTTGGAATAAAACAAGAGCAAGCTGCAACTACAGTGTTTCACAATATCAGGACTTTTCTTCTTCAGAATCAATTTTCCCCTTACATGTGTCGCTTATTCTTTTGCTGTTACTCTTCAGGGGCCGTTTTTGCTGAAACGTTTTCTTGTTATAACCATCAAAAATTTTTCCTCCGACAGATTAAGGCGTATGATTCATGCTTTAAACAAGAACATGTGTCGGGAATGCCCAATATAACTGCTGATGTGGGGGGTGTCGAACTAGGTCGCTCACATCCGGACTTGATTTACATATATGCAAACTTACTTGGTGGAAAAGGAAGCCACTCGTCTTTGGTATTTTACCTCAATCGCGCATACAAGTATTTCTCCAAAGACTCCATGATTTGTCTAGTGCTTGGATTAGCTCATGTCCACAGGTCGATGCAAAGATTGAGCTCAAACAGACATATCCAGTTGTTGCAAGGGATAAGTATTTTGTTGGAATACAAGGCCAACAGACTTTGCACAAACCCAACTGTATATGAGATCCAGGAGATTGAATACAATTTCGGTAGATTGTTCCATATGCTAGGGTTAACAAGTCTTGCTATTGGTCACTACAACAAAGTGTTGAAAATCCTGGATGACGAAGATGATATCGATGAGGATTACGATTTAAAATGGGAAGCGGCATACAACCTTTCTTTGATTTACAGTATAAATGGGAACTCGCAGATGGCCCGGCATTTAACTGAAAAGTATTTAACGATGTAATATAATGTGTTATTCTAGTAGTGTATTTTGTAAATGCCTCTGTCTCCTCCAGAAGAGTTTGGACCAAAGCGTTCACACAAAAGTATCACACAAAAGATTTTTAAGAACCCAAACATCTCAACTATTCATCAACACACTAAAATATCCATAATGGTTAGAGTGAAACATAGGTATATCTTGTTTGAGATCTTGTACCCACCAGGAGCTAGTAATAATAAGTCACATTCCGATGCAGAGGAAGTAACGCAATTCACCAGTTCAGAGAGAAATGCATTGCTTACGCTTCATAGAGCATCGCCAGCAAATATCAATCACAAGACTATACTACACGCAATACGAAAATCCTTACAAGAATATTATGGCGACTTTGGAGCAGGGTCAGCGGGGATGTTGATGACTCTAAAATATTTTTCAAACAAAACGTCAACGGGGTTAATACGATGTGGCCGTGCTCAATTTGAAACTATCGTGGCAGCAATGAGTTTGATATCTAGGCTTGAGGATCAAAATATTGCTTTCAGCTGTGTTCATGTTAGTGGTACTATTAAAAAGTGTGAAGAGTTTAGTATCAAAAAGTCCACGGAAATGATTAGGAGAATGGATGGACCAAAAGGAAAGAGGTTAACTATATGATCGGTTAACTCGCGCAATCAAACTAGGATAAGTAGCTATTATAAAGTGCAAGGCTAAAAATGCACTTCCAAACAAGCAATTATATGAAGAAAATGGGTAGTGATTCCACCGAGTTTGGTGGGGGGCGGTTGTAACCCACCAAGAGTTAGCTGGCACTGGACCAAGTCATTACAAGGATGACTCGAAACTTTCCAGCAACACGCTATGATGACAAAAGGTGGATGCAGGTTCAATTTCCGACAAGTGTTATGTACTCCTCGCACCTACTTAGTGCCTGGAAAGAGTGACTTGGTATTCACTTCAACAGAGCGTAAACGCCAGATTAAAGCCGCAATGAAAATGTGGATACATTCAGTGACAATTGAAATTGTCTTGGTGGCCAGGGCACTTACTTCAGTCTCTATTCATCGGTAGTTTCTGTTACATCTATTTGGTACCATTTTCAATATAAAATCTAAATAAATTAAGAAACCTGTGGATCGCATTCTCGCCATCAATACTGTAGCTTTCAAATTCTGGCAAGTAGGCAATCACAGCAGTCAACTCATTACTTGACACCGTAGTCATATTTAAAACAAAGTTGTACATAACACCAGCATTTGCCCCGAAATACATGTCCTTAAAATGATATGAATCATTGGAATCAGCGATTTTTCCAAGGTTAGATATGGTAATTGTAGGACGGCCGCCAATTTTTCCAATTTTATTATTAAAGAAATTCCAAAGGTCAGTGTATTGTAACATTCCAATAGTTTTAAAGCCTTTTTTGGATTTTATATCTACTTGTAATTGGCTGTGGAAGGCACGCATAGCTCTTAATGGATCATCAATTGGAGGGAGGATTATAGGATCGCCACATACCATAGTTCCGTAATTGAACTCCTTAATATCGTCACCGTAGTATCTTCGGCCATTGATAGCAACGTAGGAGTTTGTTTTGAATCGATTTTTAGGGTCAATTGCTTTAAAGATTGTTTCTTGCAAAGCCTTGATGAAGAAAACGTCAAAGTAGCCGGTTAATGTAACCCCTTTGGATCTACAAAATTTGGTAATTTCACCAATCTTTTGTCCATCAAACTTCATTATCTTGTACTTGGAGGTCAAATCTCTTTTTACTGGAGTAGGGTTACAAAATAGTGGCACATTGTCATCTCGTGTTGAGTAAATCCAACTCGACAACTTTGAATACAATGGAAAATACAGCTCCAAATAGTGGTTTAACACACTGCCATAACTAGGGACATACAAGTCGGTAACAACTTCTGCTGCAGGAATGGGGTTTAGTGGTAGGTGGTCAAAATCAGAAGTGTATTCAAATAAAGTTTCTTCGATATGATCATCATCAACTACTACTTCCAACTCTTTTGATAAATCCTTTTGAAATTGAACAGCGGATAATCCGTCGTACTGTGAGTGGTCCACATAAACCGTCAACAATTGGTCCCCATTACTCTCTTCAAACGCAATGATTCTCCACAAAGGCTTCTGAACATTCATGTCTAATGTTAATCCATTTAAATATTGAAGAACAGATTCATCAAATCGCTCAATCTTTTTGTATGTCACTACATCTTCAAATGTAATCTTGTCGATAACCTGCACCCTCCAATTGTGAAAGTTTTCCTTTCTACTGTCGGTACCTTCCACTTTGAAAAAGTTGTGGGTGAGCCAGCTATTCTTTAAAATGAGAGACCTCAATGCAGTTGACAAGTGACTTTTGCTGATGACTCTATCATACTTGACGGTGATGTTAAAGTTACTGTAGTATCTACCAGTGCCACGACAGATGTAGTATCTTTCATTGAACTCAGGCTTCCTTATGTGCTGCGGTTTTACCATTGAATACAGACTACTAAGTTTTATCTACAAAGCAAAGTGTAAGCGCGGTAATGGAATCCTTTCATTTTATTATATAGTGAAAGTCAAAAGGACCAAAATGAGTCAGATATTAAAACGGGACTCCCTTTCCGCAACAAGAAGGTAACGCGTAGTCAACTTTTCTTTGTGTAACTCAAAATCAACCACTTAAGAAACACCGAAACTGGTCTAAAGGAAAGACTGAAGCAGGCTTTGATAAGCTACGCAGAATAAAACAGAAAAGGGATATAATTTACTATTTGCGGTCTATGGACGGTATTATTTTGCGGGGAAGTTACACTAGCGAAATGTTGAAAACATACAAGATGAAGTGACTGATTAGAACGGTTTTAACAAAGCCCCGTTGATTTGATTTCAATCTCACTCATCTAAACAAGTATCACAATTATGATTTTTTCGAATTCTTCTGAAAAAATATCACAATCATGACTTACCCAAATCCATCATCCACTCATTCTCATTACGATTATGAATAGGATGACCATGAAGACGAATAGGAGTCAGACTAGTTGAAGATGGGCATGCTGAATGTAACAACACTACTCACAATGGTAGACATAGAGATCAGCTGGAGCCCATATTATGATAAAGGCCATTCCTGACTTTGAACATGCGATGGAGTGATGGGTGGGGGTGGAGGAACAAAAACAACGGCCATGAAGATGTTGGAACAAAAGGACAAAAATGGGTAGAGTTCCAATTGCAAGCGGTAATTGTAATCAATATAAACTTTGATAAATCAAAACTGGGGCATTGGAAATATGAGTAGTGTTGCGGGTGGTAATTAACCTAAAGCGTATTTTCTTTGAAAAGAGGGGGAACCTGTGTGAGGGTTACTTTCTCACTTTAGGCAATTAGATAGGCTTTCTACAACAGTATTGAACGAAGAGGGGATTTTTACCAGTCTATATATATATAGTAAATTAGCTCCGATATATTTTTAAAATCAGGTAACAATCACTCATACATTTTTGCATAATCCTCACAAATTTTATCAAAAGTTAATTCAATAATTTACACAAAAAATAGCTGCAAAACTAATTTACACACGTGACATATAACCAAATTGGATGTTTTTCTCAAAATTACCAGCAATCCCCGATTCACTGTCAGTTTTAATATTTTTCAGAGGATCCTCATGACCAGTTCTTATATCCTTTTTATTGGAGTATTCATGACTTACATTTTAACCGATACCTCTATGCTTTTGCTTATGTTAGTGCTCGAAATGAAAATTATCATGGTTATTTAAAACTTACCAATAATAACACAATATAAGAATCCATAAGCTAGCATCAGAGAAACCAACAGAGTTAGAATTGCTTTAAGTGTATAACTATTAGCAGCCAATTTTAGTCGTGTAAGTTTCCAAACTACTCAAGTCAAAGTTTGCCAAGGGAGAGAGTTTGCTAGAAAAGTGTTCCAACAGAGCTATGCAGCGTCCGCATATCAATATCTTGCCAGCTAAACTTATAAAGGAGCTCGTTTGCTGAAAATACGACTTCGATGTTCTCTCAATTATACTACTCGCACTGTAAGGTCCCTGTTGATCCTCTAAGCGCATAAAATTTAAATCTATTGTCCGAGACTGAACTATAAAAATCAAAGATCCCAAAAGTGAAAAATGTTGGCAAAAAATAGGACACCTGTATCCATACTACACGACAATCAAGCCATGACTGTTGACTACTCACTATATTTGGTGACGGATTCCACCATGATCCCAAGCTCCTCCACATTTCTCAAGCAAGTGGAGGAGGCAGTGAACAATGGAGTGACGTTGGTACAATTACGAGAAAAAGAGCTCTCAACCTTGGATTTCATTGATAGAGCTAAAGAAGTCCACAAGTTAACCAAAGCCAAAAACATTCCTTTAATTATCAATGACAGAGTTGATATTGCCTTGGCTGTGGATGCAGAAGGTGTTCATGTTGGCCAGGACGACATGCCAGCAACGTTAGTGAGAAAGTTACTAGGACCAAACAAGATTGTTGGTGTAACTTGTTCCAATCCAGAAGAAGTAAAACAGGTAGTTCGTGAGGGCGTTGCAGATTATGTTGGATTAGGTACTACTTTTGCCACAAATACTAAAAAGGACGTAAAAACCCCCGGTGGTGTTGGTCCCATTGGCATCAGAAAGCAGATGTATGAATTGCAGTCTACCGGTATCCAATGTGTTGCAATTGGAGGCATAAATCACTCCAATGCTAATAGGGTTATACAACAGTGCCAGGTCGGCGATACACGCCTTGATGGAATCGCTGTAGTCTCTTGTATTATGGCAAGCGAAGATGCTGCCGAAGCGACAAGAACATTACGCTCTGAATTGGAATATACTCCAGACTGGGCAACCACAAAATCATTTGATGCTAAAGTTCCAGTACACTCTATCGTTAAGAATATGTCTGACCTGCATCCATTAGTGCATCATATCACCAATAACGTGGTCAAAAATTTCAGTGCAAATGTAACATTAGCAATTGGTGCATCACCAATTATGTCAGAGTTGCCGGAGGAGTTTGAAGAGTTTGCTTCAGGTATCCCCAACATTGGACTTGTCATCAACTTGGGCACTCCAAACACTGAACTTATGAGAGTATTCTCCAAAGGGTTGACCACTTACAACAGGTACAGTAAGCCTGTTGTGTTTGATCCTGTTGCATGCGGAGCTTCAAGGGCTCGACTTGAAAGCTGTAGAAAGCTTTTGAACCAAGGTTTTGTGACAGTGATCAAGGGTAATGTTGGAGAAATTTTGAGCATTTGGAAACTTACCCCTTTTTATCAAGAAGTGGAGGATGGCGAGAGCCATATGAGAGGCGTGGATTCCATCTCCAACGCCGGCGAAGCTGAAATAAAGGAGAAGGGTTATCAAGTTGCTACTACTTTCGGATGCGTAGTAGTAATCACAGGGGAACTAAATTTCATATTAGGCAGCGACAAGAGGTCGGCAGTCGTCCGCGGGGGAAGCTCGTTGATGGGTAGTATAACAGGCACAGGATGCTCTTTGGGTAGTACTATTGCTGCGTTTTTAGCTGCAGAGAAGGCTGGTTCAATTGTTGGAGGTGATGTTTTCAAGTCTACCGAGGCAGCAGTGACCTTGTACAATAGAGCCGGTGGCATTGCTGGCCTTGAATCACAATATCCTGGTTCATTTATGATAAATTTCCTCGACAAGTTGAGTCAGGTTTCTCATGACCCTGAGCAAAATATTCAATAAGCATAGAACTCGAGCGAGTCAGATCAATATGTATAGAAATATAAAGTAACATCACTCAATTTTTACACCTCTTGCACGATATCAACCACGATATTCGTAATTCAAAATATTGATGCCTATCTAGATCAAAATCTAGTGGCGCGCGTAATTTTTGAAGCTCTTTACACCACAGGTTATATTATACCTTTCTGAGGAAACAGACTAACATGGTTCGAAAAGGCAGAGGCGACTTTCCTGTAAAGAAGCCAAATAGACCATCACCAGTTGCAAATGTCGGCAAGATAGGTTCACTCATGAGATATCCTGATCGAGATTATGCAAATTCAATATTACATGACGCGGTCAAACAACTAGCCCCACTTATCCACGAATACAACTTCAAAATAGGACTACTATGTGAGATGTTTCCAAAAAGTGAAAATCTACTAGGGCTTAATGTCAACAAAGGACAAAAAATCATGCTACGATTAAGGTACCACCACAACGAGAGACTGTTTTTGCCAATGAGTGACATAATTGGAACATTCTTGCATGAGCTAACACATAATATACACGGAAAGCACGATAAGGACTTCTACGATTATCTATCAAAGTTAGAGAAAAGGTTTGACGAGATGAGGTACGGAAATGTGCGTTCGAACTATAGATGTGAAGAGAATAGACTCGGGTTGGGAAGACTACAGGCTGGTGTTGTTGATGTAAGGGCCAAAAGAATTGCCACATTGACTAAGGCTGGATTTAAAGCGGAGACAAAGATTTTGGGGCTGGCTTCAAAGATCGATAAGCCAAGCAGCCCTCGCGAAGCCATGTTGGCAGCAGCACTTCAGCGTTTGGAGGACTCAAAGCGCTGCCATTCAGATCGTAATCAACAAAGCGAGGCTCCCGATGAAAAGGAGTTGGAAATTGTGGAGCTAGATGACGATTTTGAGTCAGGTAGTGACTCTGACGTGGAGGTTATTTATGCTGATGGTAAAGAAGAGAAAGAAGACGGTGATTCGAACGATGTTATTATAATTGATTAGGAAGGCTATGTATAGAGTGTAATCATTTTTGAAATCAGTTTTGTCTCGAAAGCGAGACTTTTTCAACTTGAACTTGTACACTCTGTCTTCTCTTCCTTTCCCCAAGAAAGAATATGATACTATGGAGCTGGATTATTAACCTTTTGCTCACTCTATTCACCTTCAGTATACATGCTTCAGCAGAGGATGGTGGCTCCTTAACAATTGATGTCAAAACTCCTTGGAAAAAGGTTGATTTCGTGTCAAATTTCATAGAAAGCATAGCAGGTTTCGATCCATCGCTATATGTACCAACTTTGGAAGCTATCTTTGGCCTTGGCGATTTTGATGAGAGTGAGAAGAGAACAGACAGAGATATATATGACCATGCATTGTGTCAATTGCCACTAGAACCTACATCAACTGACTTTATCAACTTTAACATTGTAAGCAAAAAGTACTCGCCGCGGGTGGCTTCACATTACGCTCATTATGAAAAGATAAAACAACAATATGGAGCAAGATTAAGGACCCAATGTACTAGTGACTCGTTTGGCAATGAAGTTGAGACAAAGAATGGGCTTGTGCCAGCATGGGTCTTGTACAATGACAGGATATATTGTTCAGTTAATGATTTATTTGCACTTCAGACAGACAAATCTAATCAAGAGATATCGCTGATTGACAGAGTGATTGGTGATAATGCTGAATCTCCCTTGTTGGTGTTTTATGGCGACCCAACTGTTGTCCAAACAAAGGAATTTCTCAAGGTTTTGTACGAAGAAGCTCGCAATGGAAAATTGAGGTTTGTTTGGAGATACATCCCGCTGGTTAGTAAACAAACAGACACACTCCCCGGATATACAGTCGAACTTCCAATGGAAGATGCCGAATATAGAAGTGGGCCTCAGTATGAATTGAACAAAAATTTCGATCTGATAAACAATTCCACAGCCGTTTCAAAAGTTAGTGGGAATGTCGATGACTTAGGTCTCAAGCTTACCTCCTTTGCTTTATCAAATAGGATTAAAATAGCAAAGTTTGATTTGTTACAAACGATATTGAACAATATGCCAAAATTTTATTCCTACTTGAACAAATTACCCGAGCTGATCAATTATAAAAAGGTTAAATCCAAAGTTCTAGGAAACGAACAGATGGGACTATCAACAGACTCTTCTGGCATCTATATAAACGGGTCTCCGATTCATCAATTAGAATTGGATGTGTATAAACTTGCAGAGAAGATTAGTGGCGAATTAGCTTTGATCCAGGATCTTGTAAAGCTTGGGTTCAATTCAGTTCAGTCAAAACTCCTTTTGTCCAAATTTGGATTACTTTCCGCCGTTAAGCAAGCTCAGTTCAGGACCGGTAACACTTTAATGGGCAATAATGAGAACAGGTTCAAAGTATTCAAGAATTCTTTTGATAGCAAATCCCCTTCTGAAGGTGGTGTTTTGTTTATAAATGACATTGAGCATGATGGGAATTACGAAAAGTACTCGACAGACCGCGAGGACACTTATCTCGGTGTTGAATCTCGCAAACTCAAGCCCAACCAAATCCCTCCTTTAAAGGAAAACATTCATGATATTGTATTTGCCCTTAACTTGGCAAATAAACAACAATTAAAGACATTTTTCACATTCTCAAAAATTATATTGGATACAGGTATTCCTCAGCAAATTGGAATTTTGCCGATAATTGGCGAAGATCCTTTAGATGAGCAACTAGCAACGCGTATTTTCCACATTGCTGGGTTACTGGGTTCAAAAGAAGCACTCGCATTGCTTTACAAATACTTGGAATCACCTGGACCAGACGAAACTGAAAAGCTATTGGAGAAAATAGCTGTACCCCCAAGCTTTCTGGTGAACTTTGATGCGGTGTTGGCCAAATTTTCTATACAACAACCTTCCGTCATTGTTAACGGTGTAATTCATGACTTTTCTTCCACGTCAAACTGGCAAATATCTATGAGCAAACAAATTGAACAAGATATTGCACTCATCAAAAATCAATTGAAACTGGGGTCGGTGAATGGCAATCTCAAGGATATCGTGTACAACAATGCCAAGCTGGAACGAAATTTACGTATTCATCCATTGGACCCTAGTGATATTATCTACAAAAGGGTTGACCAGGACTTAGTGAGGAACTCGATAGCATTTAAAAAGATTGATAAAGATTTAGAGAACCACGCCACTGTTTGGCTAGTATCTGACTTTAGTGACAAGAACATGGTAGATCAACTTATAAACTTGTTGAGGCTTATGAAACGGAGCTCAGTACAGGTAAGGGTGGTCAATATGGGGAATTCGAAGATATTTTCCAGGTTGGTGGAAAAAGTAAAATTGACAACATTGACAAACTCGAGAATTGAGAGTGTTATCTCGATATTACAAGAAGGAGATCTATCAACAGATTTAGATAACAAGGTTTTAGGTATGTTGAAACAAAAGCATATGCCAATAAGGCATTCATATTTGTTGATAAACTCGAGGTACATCAGATTAGACCCTGTAATCTTGAGCCGGGAAGAGTTGTCACAGCTAATTGAATACGAGCAAAGTCAAAGATTGCGATTGATAAATGAGATTATTCTCACATATGTCGATGAGTTTCCACAGAGCTTATACGAATATAACCTGCTTGTATCTGGTCTAGACGGCATGGACTGGTTTGATTTGGTTTCCAGTATAATTACAAAATCGTTTCATGTCGATGACAAAGCGTTTCTCACCGATGTCAACAGATTTGATTTTGCCTCCATAGACATGTCCAACCTGATAGATTATGCACAATATGACGTGTCGAAACCTGTTGACATATTAGTTATCATGGATCCACTTAATAAAAAATCACAAAAACTAATCAATATACTTGATGCAGCCAAAGACTTTTCATTTGTTAACGTGAGAATTCTACTTCAGCCAAAATCCGAATACAAGCATGAAGAGTTGACGGACCGGTTTTACAGAGGTGTATTCTCTCCTTCTGTACCCCAATTCAAAGGAAATGGAAATTGGAATGACAGGTGTTTAGCAAACTTTGCTGCATTACCCCCGGCAAAATATTCTATTAATATAGATATACCTAAACGATGGGTAGTGGTTGCAGAGAGTTCGCCATTGGACATTGATATTAATAACTTCAGATTGAATGAGAGCCCAATATCCGTGTCATTCGAATTGTCTAATCTACTCATAGAAGGGTACGCCAGAGATGTGCTAACTGGTAGAGCTCCTAAAAACTTGCAGTTGCAGATCTCTGATGGAGCATATACTGATGATACTTTGGTGATGACAGCTTTAAATTATTTCCAGCTAAAGGCGTTACCTGGTGCTTATTCCTTCACTATCAAGTCAAATCATTCATTGTTATCAGCTTCAGACAATAAGTTCGACCCTAATATTGATGAAATTGACGCAGTTCCCGTTTCTGTATTCACCTTGGATGGCGTTACACTCCAGGCGAGGGTTAGCTCGAATAGGGAGAGATTTACAGAGAGAAAAAAGCATGCCGATATCAATATTTTTACTATCGCCGGTGGCCACCAATATGAAAAACTTGTTAGCATCATGATAGCGTCGGTAAAAAAGCATAACCTGCAAAAGCTGATCAAATTTTGGATCTTAGACAACTACATCTCACCACAATTCAGAGCGTTGGCCACATTATTGGTTAAGAAATACGATATTGAAATTGAGTTGATAACTTACAAGTGGCCCAATTTTTTACGGAAACAGAATAGCAGACAAAGGGAAATCTGGGGTTACAAGATCCTCTTTCTTGATGTTCTTTTCCCACAGGATCTAGATCGCATTATATTCATTGACGCTGACCAGATATGTCGTACTGATCTCAGTGAGTTGGTAACCATGGATTTAGAAGGTGCTCCTTATGCATTTACACCAATGTGTGATTCCAATAAAGAGATGGAAGGGTTCAGATTTTGGAAGCTGGGTTATTGGTCTGAGGTACTACAAGGTGATTTAAAGTACCACATCAGTGCTTTGTATGTTGTTGATTTACCCAAGTTTAAACACTTGGAAGCTGGCAATAGACTACGTGCTCATTATCAGAAATTATCAAGTGACCCAAACTCATTAAGTAATTTGGATCAAGATTTACCTAATAATTTACAAAGACTGATCAAGATTAAAAGCTTACCACAAGAATGGCTCTGGTGTGAAACCTGGTGTTCTAGTGAAACATTTGATGAAGCGAAAATGATTGATTTATGTAATAATCCAGTAACGAAAGAGGATAAATTAGATACTGCAAAGAGGTTGATTCCGGAATGGGTCAGTTATGAAAAAGAAGTGCTGACTTTGCTTGAGCAAATAGAAAGCACTATTTCCAAGGAAGAGGAAGAGGAAGAGATGAAGGAGGCTGCCAATGGCAGTTTGCACTTCGATGATGATGAGGACGATGATACCTTATACCATGATGAGTTGTAGACTGAATATATATAAGAACTGATTAATACAAATTCTCTAGTGGGATTTTATTTCAAGTTTGTACTGTTCTTTAAACAAAAACAGGTGACAACTTAAATGTCGGATAATTTGGCGATCTAAAAAAATCATTTAAAGTCGTCGGACCTTAGTAGAGCAGCTGCTATTTATGCAAGACGATGTAGATTTTAGTGTTGTGACATCTTTGTCTCCTCTTTGTGCCATCAAATTTTCAACAATCATACGAACATTTCAGAAGAAAAAAAAGTTGTACGACGAATAATGACATGATTTAATCTAGTAAGCTCAACATCAATCCAATTTCCCAAACTTCAAATTCACAATTTTCGAAGCAGGCTCCAGATTGCAATCGTCTATATATATATTCTGTTGCTGCCCTTCTGTATTTTTTTTTTATTTTAAAATCGCTGTTTAATCAATCACAACATCTACTATGGTTGTTACTCCAGACAAAATTCATGATAGCTCGTTACCTCTCAGGGAGCGAATGGAAGCTCTAGTTCGTTTGAAGCAGCAAGAGATTACGCAAGCGTTGGCAGCGGTTGATACAGTTGGTTTCCACACTGATTCCTGGGTAAGAGGTGATAATGGCGGTGGAGGACAATCGATGGTTTTGCAAAACGGAACTACATTTGAAAAAGGTGGTGTCAACATCTCAATTGTCCACGGTAAATTGCCAGCACAAGCAGTGCAAAGAATGAGAGCCGACCATGCAAATCTTAGAGGCAGTGCAAGTGATGGAAGTGTTGATTTCTTTGCTTGTGGGCTATCTTTGGTCATTCACCCACATAACCCGCATGCTCCAACAACCCATGCCAACTATAGATATTTCGAAACAACTGACCCTGACACTAAAGAAACTCAAGCTTGGTGGTTTGGAGGCGGTGCTGATTTAACACCGTCATACTTGTACGAAGAGGATGCTAAACACTTTCATCAAAAACATAAAGATGCATTGGACAAGTATGACGAGAGTTTGTATCCCAAATACAAGAAGTGGTGTGACGAATACTTTTTAATTAAGCACAGGGGAGAGACTAGAGGAGTTGGAGGTATCTTTTTCGACGACTTTGATTCTAAGCCGGCCGATGAGATTTTAAAGATTATTGAAAGTTGTTTTGATGCATTTGTTCCATCATATGTCCCATTGGTGGAAAAGAGAAAGGATACCCCATTCACTCCCGAGCAAAAACAATGGCAGCAAATTAGAAGAGGAAGATATGTCGAATTCAATTTGGTGTTGGATAGAGGAACTCAATTTGGTTTGCTCACCCCTGGATCAAGAGTCGAGAGTATATTAATGTCGTTACCAGCTACTGCCAGTTGGGTTTATGATCACCACCCAGAGCCTGGCAGTGATGAAGACAAGCTATTACAAGTTTTGAAAAACCCTGTGGATTGGGTGTAATAGGAAGGAAATAAGTAATGTAAATAAACTTTAACGATAATGTTTAAAAAGCATATCATTTAATTTATCTATTAAAAGTCAATTACTAAGATGATTTGTAAGCTGTGGCAGGTTCTGCTGAAGAGCTAGTTGGCACTGAATACGAAGCTGATACTGTTGTTTCAACTGTGGAACCACCATCAACCAGGGTGGTGATGTTAGGTTGGGACAAAGGGCACCACAAGAAGAAATCAGTATAGGCGTGATCCAAGGGGTAGGTCTTGTAATTGTTTTGAATCTCAATCACCACTGGAATAAGTCCACCAGTTTGGAGATTATACAATCTATGCTGAGCAACAGCCAAGATTGCATTGATAAGACCACCATGCAGCACGACACTAATAACCTTCTCATCTTTTGCATCTTCAAAAATATCAGCCAAAAATGCAGCCCCTCTGTAGTAGATATTCTCGAGCCCCTCCCTGTAAACTGGACTCCAAAGAACGTCATCACTTTGAAATCCGTCTTCAAAATCAAATCCAGGAAAGCTACTCTCGATATAGGCTCTATCGTGTCTTTTACTTTCAGTGTCGATACCATACCATTCTCTTGCAAACTCCTTAATAGTTGCAGTCTTATGAGGCAAGTTTAACCAAGTCTCTTGCCATGTTTCTAAAGTTCTTCTCAAAGGACTAACGTAAAACTTATCTGGGTGAGGAAATGAGGTTGTGTTTTTGATTTGGTTGACTAAATTTTTGATTTCCTGGTGTCCTTTGGGAGTCAATTCAGCATCATACCATTCGATACCATCCTTACCATCCTGGAGCGACCAGTAGCATTGCCATTCAATAAGCCCAATATGTAAATCCTGTTGGGCGACATTATGCCAACCTTCACCATGTCTTTGCAAAAAGAAAAGCTTTTGGTTGGAATTTAAGCTTGATACAACATCGTTCCAAGTGTATTGACTGTTTAATCCAAAGTTTGCAGAGCTCACCGCAAACTCAGGAATCAATGGGTTGCTTTGTTGGAAAAACTTTTTCGAGGAAGTAAATGTTGGGAGATAGTTGGGTTCAGCTGCGAAAGCCAATCTGACAAAGATCAACACAAAAGTAAACCAGGTGGAAATCATGTTGGCTAGTGTTTGGGGTCTACAGCTGGGTCCAAAGCTTTTACAACCATTTCATTGCTTTTGGCTCGTTTATATAGCCTTTGGTTAGCTTGGGCCCACGTGGATCATCGCAACGGTTTGATGTATGCAAAGCTATTGTCTTGGACAATAGCAGATTAGTTGCTTATTGTTTAAAGTGCGGTATGAGGTATTCAAAATCCGCATCGTTAAAGATTTTGCGGATTATTACAGCTGTTGATTACAATAACGCAGTCGCGATGTGTCAAATTTAGACCCTTTGTATTACAGAGATAGCCGGAAACTGAGCCTCGGCTAATTTGGTTAGGAGTTGAATCTGATCACATGACTTGGTCCAATAAAAAATAAGTGAGAAAAATCGAAAGCGCACGAACAGATAAAAATATCAACAGACTCAGGGATACACACAAACATTCACTCAAACTAGTGCCAGATGACGATATATTCATTTTTCATATTTGATCGCCATTGCAACTGTGTATACGATCGCGAATACACGCACTCGCCAAACCCATCTGCCACCACACAAGACAAGATTGATGGCCAAATCAACAAGAATAACGACGCCGATAACTCGAAACTACTATTTGGAATCCTATATTCTCTTAAAACAATTGCCGCAAAACTAGTATTGGAAGATTCAGTCCTCAACGAATTGAAGCAATTGACAATTGGGCAGTATCGAATTCATTTCTGGGAATCATTGACAAGATTTAAATTTGTGATTATCACTGATATACAGGTTCAATCTTTACAGCAGGAGCTTTGGCAGTTGTATTCACATTTTTTCATTAGATATGTGGTTGAAAATGCATTGCTGCCAGTTGAATTCAAATGGAAGGATGATGATTCGTTGCAGGAAAATGAAATTTATGGAAAGATCAATAATGGCAGGTTTATACAAGAGACTGATCGGTATCTAAAGTCGCTATCTATATTTTAATAGAACTTTGAAGACTTGTCTAATTGAGAGGACACGTGTTGCACCGCTGATCTGGATGATCATGGATTTATAACTCTGACTCGTAGGAGCAATCAATGTGACAAAAACATGATGTGCATATAAATTTTGGCGCGAATTTGTTACAAATGATTCTGTAAAGTTTTGCAGCAATTTAATGCACCCTTGAATTGACAAAGTTCAACTATTTGACTTCTAGCTGAAAGCAGAGTAAGCAAAACCATTTACCTAAGTAACACATGAAGTATCGAGGGAATGCCACTGCTATGGAATTTTTTTCTACTATCGCTGGGGATATGACCAGTCGAGAATGCAGCTCCGCATTCTACTCCAGAGTAAACATTAACAGCGAAGTTGACTAAAATCCACTCCATTGTGCATACACAAGAATGCTCTTCCATTCTGCTTCACTAAATCTATATCTAATTGTCAAAATCTAAACTTGAATACGCATATATATATATATATCTATAAATATCACAAAGGATCTATATACAGCCTTTCATCCTCTCGCGTTTCTCAATTGAAGTCCTTATTCTGTAAATTTCTTGTCATTGCCGGTAATGCAACTCTAATACCATCTAATTCCTTCGACATCTGAACCTGGCACCCCAATCGTGAAGTTTCTGTCAATCCAAACGCCAAATCCAACATATCATTCTCATCATCACTAGGTTCAGGTATTTCATCATAAAACTCGGGGTCAACAATTATATGACACGTGGAACAAGCACATGATCCACCACAAGCACCTTCCATATCTAAATTATGGGCTTGGGCTATATCTAGTATATTATCGCCTTCAGCTACTTCGTAAGTGAGTTGTTTGCCGTCTTTCGTTATGAATGTGATATGGAGTTCTTCACCGGGCTTTGGTTTATGGAGATGTCCGTGGTTTAGTATGGGTGATGTATGCATTGATTTGGAGAAGGGAATGAAGATGGTGGGTGATCTGGGGAAATATGTGCGTGGAAGTGATATAGGTGATGCAGGGTTGAAGCGTTGAATGCCTCTTATCTGCCTCTGTACTATGCTCCTTATCATTTGGGTCAATGTTGTGTGTGTGTCTGTGTGTGTAGCTGATGATGGTGATAGTTTTTTTTTGATGAGATTGGATTGTGAAATGTATTTGTATTTGATGACTCTGGATAATTTTTCTTCTTCTTTTTCTTCTATTTTTTTAGAGAGACGAGATTACGTAATGACCTAGAACAATAGGAGAGGCCGTTCCGACCTATGAACGATTTCCGATTATCAATAACTTTTTTAACTACACTTGACAAAACATAAACCTCCCCACAGCAGTATCACCATGGTAGATCTAGTACATATACGACTCTGCTGGTCCATTGTATATCTACAATTCACAATTTTAACCAAATTACATTCACCAGAAAAACGTTTTCTAAATTCTCTACGAAAACTTACTAAAAAGAACTAAAAATATCAACAAAATCAACACGGCAATAATAGCATAACTAATAAACTTATTAGCCGTCAATCTTCTTCCCATGCTCTTCAAAGTTTGAATACTTCTATCAACATATGAATCAGCCTGCATCAACGTATTTCTAGCCCCGCCAATTTGTTCTCGTTGCGATCGCAAATCATTCAAGATATTACCACCAATGTTTTCCGTTTCTAATGCAATTCGTTGACTATCTTGCAACCGCTGTGATGATCGTTCTAAAGACGACTGGTTGTTTAGTAATTGTTTACGCTGTGAGTCAGATACGCCGTTGCCAGTATTATCCTCATCACGATATCTTGATCCAAATAGTTCATGTCTATCTTGAACATCGCTGAGTTGTTTGTATTTTGATTTGACATCATCAATTTGTGATTTATATTGACGAATCTTGGTGTTGTACGATGAACGTTGATTGGTGGGCAAGTTCTGCACTTCAATTGTCATTTGATCAAGTGCCTCCAATGCTTCATCTGTAGCTGCTTCAATAGCTTTAAGGTAAGATTGACGTTGTTCTATAAGCACCTAGTTAGTATTCTGTTATAAGACTTGGCTGAGTTTGCCATAAGCTGCGATTGAAGACATACCCCCTTGCACGGACTCTACTTGAGACACCTTTGTCTTTGCCTCTTGCAAAGCAAGTTGGAAGTCATTTTCATAAGTGTTGAATGAATCGGACATGGTCGGTTCGTAATTGATTGTCTCTATTGTATGCTTGAAAGTGTCAACCATTTATCCTCAGTGTGTCATTTCAAATTACGCAAAAGTGGACAAGTAAAAAGAGGGCGTGTACATGTGCAAAAACAAAAAGAATTGTATATTTAAAACAGTCTCTCTATAAAGGTACTACTGCCATTCTCTACTTGTCATGGAGTCTGGTTTCGAATTCATCTCCAGAAACATTATCATCATCATCAGTCCTCGACTTGTACTTTTTAAACGCAGCTTTAACCTGTTCTAAGAAATCATCATCAACTTCATCTCCTGAATCAATAGACGCACCAGATTGTGTCTTTTGTAATTCGGTCAATTCCTTCTTCAATATTTCATCGGTTACACAAACCCCATGGTCTAATCCATCGAGTTGGGTACAAGCAGCAGCTTTAGCTGTGGCTTCCTCTTCATCATCATTGAGGTCTAACGCATTAACCGTCAAGTTTAGTAGCGATTTACCTGATTTTCGTCTCACCAACTTACCAGAAAATGGACCTGCCTTTGGTCTATACTTTTTCACATCTTCATCAGTGTTGGCACTATCGTGCAAAAACACCGATGAGTTTTTCCTATGGACTGGCGTTCTTGGAGTCTTTGGAATCCTACAAGTAACACCATTATCATGAATCCATTTAGCCACAACAGCAGTCCAACCACATTGATGAGACGCGCCCAAACCTCTTCCATTGTCACCATCGAAGTACTCGTAAAACGGAACATATTCTTTGAAAAATGGATCCTTGTTAATCAATTCATTATCACCATTACATGCTCTGTTACCATCCTCATCGGGCAAAAACAAATGAATTAACCGATGTTGAATTTCTTGGGCACATTGTGCTAAATTGAGATACTCACCGGAGCCAGTTGGACATTCAACTTTCAAATCAGGGCCATAGTACAAATAGAACCGTTGTAATGCCTCAACCAACAAGAAATTGGTGGGGAACCAAATTGGTCCTCTCCAATTGGAATTACCCCCAAACATACCAGAATCAGACTCACCCGGCAAATACTCAACTTTAAAAGTTTCCCCATTAACCTCCATACTGAATGGATGGTCTTTGTGATATTTTGATAACGACCTGATACCGTATGGTGATAAGAACTCGCTTTCATCCAACATTCTGCGCAAAATTGCTACTAGTCTCTCCTTGGATACCAAAGATAACAACAATCTCTCACCGACACCTCTTGCCTCCATTGATGCTATATTTCTCTCGGCAACTTCTTTCCTATGATGCACAAACCAGTCCAATCTCTTTTTAAACGAAGGAAATCTTTCCAACAATTCGGGCTCCAACGTCAATGAGGCATAAAGGGGGATCAATCCAACCAAGGATCTGACTGGGAGTGACTGTGTATTATGATCACCATATCTAATAGCATCGTAATAGAATTCGTCATTTTCATCCCAGAGCGAATTCTTTGTTGATGATTCGTTTTCACTTTCACCGCCTCTGAATGTCAATGCATCAGCAATAACGACAAAATGTTCAAAAAATTTCGAAGCAATGTTTTCATAAACCGGTCTCGTCTTGGCTAATTCCAAAGCAATATTCAACATCTGTAAAGAAAAGAAGGCCATCCATCCAGTGGAATCAGCCTGCTCCAAATTACCTCCCGTGGGTAATGCCTCCGATCTATTAAACACACCAATGTTATCCAAACCTAAAAACCCACCTTCAAAAATGTTGTTCCCTTCAGCGTCTTTTCTATTAACCCACCATGCAAAATTCAACATTAATTTTTGGAAAACCCTTTCCAAGAAATCAATATCTTCACGGCCATACATTTTCCTTTCTATTTTGAATATCCTATAAGCAGCCCACGCATGCACTGGTGGGTTAACATCACTGAAGTTCCATTCATACGCAGGTATTTGTCCATTGGGGTGCATATACCATTCCCTTAACAAAAGGTCAATTTGGTTCTTGGCAAACCACGGGTCAATCATGGCAAAAGGAATGCAATGGAAAGCGGTATCCCAAGCGGCAAAAAAGGGGTACTCCCATTTGTCAGGTAATGACAAGATATCGTCAATATACAAATGCTTCCATTCCTTGTTCCTACCATTGGCACGATTGACTGGCGGTTTAACGGTATTTGGATCCCCATATGCCCAATAGTTGTGGACAAAATGATAGAATTGCTTTGACCACAATAATCCGGCAAATGCATATCTTTGAATTTGTCTCAATTCGTCACTGATTGGTAAAGGAGAAACTTTCCAATAAAATTGATCAGCTTCATTTTGGCGTTTACTGAAAATTTGATCCAACTTGTATTCATCAACATCGGAATTTTCTTTGGTGAATTTGTAACGTATAGTAACATAGTCACCAGGTGGCACCCCGCCGTCTTCATCAAACACGTACCACGCAGCAGCTTGAGTACCTTCCTTGTCTGGATTTACTGCCTTTTCATCGCCACGAACCACAAGTTCGTGAAACCCGTCCTTTACATATTCGCTCTCATTTTCTTGTCCATACAATTTCTTGGTATTTGTTTCATTCTCAGTAAACACTAATCTTGGTTCAACATCTGGCGAATTCTCAATAATACCAGCAGATGGAGCAAATGACAAGTAACGTTTACCAAATTTATGAGTTTCAACTTCAATTGTGTAGTCATTGACTTGCCTCAAATGGGGTTTAGGTTCATTAACGCTTTCTTTTGTCCCCCACGCCCAAGTGTTTCTCAATACAACATTTGGTAACAAATGCAATGGAGCTGGCTTATCACTTCTGTTGTAAGCAGTAATTCTGAAATACAAATCATCGGGGGAGTCCTTGGCACTTTCAAACACAACATCAAAATACTCGTTATTGTCAAACAATCCAGTATCAGTAATTTCATATTCTTGTTCCAATCTTGATCTTTTAGCATTCTCTTCTTTCAATTCCTCGTAGGGAAACTTATTTTGGGGATACTTGTACAAGTACTTCATATAAGAATGTGACGGAGTATTATCAAGATAGTAATATAATTCTTTAACATCTTCACCATGATTACCCTGATTATTAGTCAACCCATACAATTTCTCTTTTAAAATGTCGTCTTTCCCATTCCATAAAGCCATGGTGATGTTGACCAATTGCCGTCTATCGGAAACACCCGCCAATCCGTCTTGTGACCAACGTGATACACGAGCGTAGTCTTCAAATTTAAATGAATCCCAAGCATTTCCATCACCACTATAATCTTCTCGAACTGTTCCCCATGACCTTTCTGAAACGTATGGACCCCATTGTCTATACTTGATATCTTGCAATCTCTCTTCTTCTGCTGTTAATCCTGGCATTACGGACAATATGTAGTTGTGATTGGTAGTTAAAGACAAAAGAAGAAGAAGAAGAAAAAGTGTTGATGATTCTGAGATGATTTTCTAATAAGGGATGAAATTTAATCAATGGTAATTATGAGAGAGATTTAAATTAAAAAATTAAATTAAAAAAAATATTTTAAATCTAAAAAAGGCGGTATTAATATTAAAGAGTGTGTAATAAGTTACTTTGAGTTTTTCCGAATTAAATTTGGTGTGAATTGCATAAGCTGTGATTTCTATTCGTATGGCTCGAGAACATAACTCTGTTGCCCCTAACCAAATGTATACACGAATTAGCAAATTATATGCTCTTTTGAACACTATATACGATGTATGTTGAGTCCAACACATCTTCGACAGATTATTACACACAATTGGGAAGTTTTATTGTTTGTATATATATCTATATATATAGTAACACAAAATCAGTTCTTCTTTCTTAAATTGCTACTGCATTAATATACAAAGCTAATGTATCCACCATACACACTTTTCAAAAACCTATCAATTGAAGTAGCAGCAACTGCTAAATGTATGGCACGCTATATGAGTAGCAGCAGTAACTTAACAATTGCAAGAGAGAAAAAAAGAGGTGGTTTGCTCCTGCGTTGATGGGCTGTGGGCCGAAATTATTTTTACGAGGCATATGTGGTACAAATTGTAAAACAAAGTGGGGAACAATTTGGGGGATACAAAAGAAACACACCACAGATAGTGGTTCAATACAAACTTTCCATACGATGTATAAATATTAACCTAACAGAAATCTCCCCCACTTCATTCCATATTTACCTAACTGTAGTAAAAAGTCCCAATGTGAGACTTTCCAATCCAACTCCCATGGGCAATATAAATCTCATCAGAAGAATCGGAATAATCTTCCAAGCCAGTGGCTATTCTTTCTTCAACGTTTGTTGCTTGCCTGACCAAATCATGAGCCAAGCCTTGGCCAAACTTGTTAAGGTTGGCTTATCGATGGGTAGGATTTCTTGCAAAACATGACTTTCTACTCTGTCCATGCAATCCTCATATAACCGGATAGCCTTTTGTAACAACTCGGGGTCCAAAATCCGGCAGTTACGGACATTCTTCCACTCCTGGTAGTCGTCACCATATTTGGCAGCATACGCAGGCCCCAATCCTAAGCTGCACTAGGTCCACTAATATCATAATCTTTTCTTTTATACATCAAGTTAAACCTCCTAACCTACCTTCATCGCTCATGTACAACAACTCTAAATACAAATCGATTGCCCTGTCAAACTTGTTTGCATCTTGTAAGGGCCGTCCTTTAAAATTTTCCACTCCAAAGGATCGTGTCGGTATCTCTTGATGTACAAGGACCCATATTATAACACCAATCGAACCGTCGTGAGGCAAGCGCAAACTGGTGTAAAATTCACATCCTCATACCAGTTTTCTTCAAGAAAATTAATCAAGGCCTCCTTGCCTTTGACTATGGGCCATATCATGGTTAGTAGAGGAGTTGCATGTTTTCATGACACATTTAGAATCATAGCACTTGAAATGAACCGTTTAGGTCTGGAATAATAAGACAATATGGCCCAATACCTCCATATCCAAATCTTTTGTCACGTCTATGTTCATGGTCGTTGCGAGCTCCCGAGACATAATAGTTGACTACTTCCATGGCGCTGTAGATGAAACCATGTATGAAACACTTTTTTCCTTTATTTCAAAGGCTTGTAGCTGGCAAGATCTGGTGCATAAAAAGAATCCAAAGTGTGCGGCTCCAGTGGTAATAATATAGTGTATGATCGGATTGTTTACCACTTGGTGTGGGAGATAAGAAAGGGAGAGCTGTGTCAAATCATATCCCTGTGATCAATCTACTCCGTTTTAAAGTCTCTGAATTCCCCATAGCGAGCTTTCGTTTAGGTCCTACAGATAAATGTATCAAGACCCTGCGTCAATTTGAACTAGACGATTTGTAAATCGTATTTGTTGAGATGAGACGAATTCCATGAGTGCGTTTACAAGGTTTATGAGAATAGGGTATCTAATCCAATAGTTATCCACAGGAAATGCAAAGGGTTTTTAACATGAGAAGAGCCAAGGCTTATATACTCATAGTGAAGACTAAGGTGTCTCTACATATGTAGCATAAGTTAAAGAAAGATCATAGTATATGCCACATATAGTAGTGGATATAAAAGGAAGGTATATAAATAGCCCTGTTTGCCCCATGTCCAGTTTTATTTTGCAAGTCTTAAGAAAGCAAGTAATATTATAGATTCACGTTGTCAGGTATGGCTAAGAACACAAACATGGACACTATATCTGGTAAAGAGTTGGTCCCAGGGGTTCCAAATCAACAGAGAGCACAGTGACAGGTTAGATTAGGTTTAGACGTCTCTCGAAGGCCCATGTGTGTTGAAATATGAAATTTTTCAAGGACAGTCCAATCAAGGAATAAAATGGGTACGCAAACCAAGGAGGGGAAGATCAGGATTGATCAGTTGTCGATCAAGAGCGGAACAAACTTACATGGATGGTAGAATTGTGTTGTTTTAGTACTCCAAATTACAGAAACACTCTTCACTTGATAACTTATCTCCTCCATCTGACAGTAACTAGCCAGCTTCTCTTGTTGTCCTTATTCCAATCGTAAAGAACTTCGTATACATTGCGGTAACGGTTAATAAATTATTTCTTAGATCATGCACTATTACTACGGTTAATAAAACGTGGCTTTTGTAAACATAATGTGCAGGATAACCAAACTAATCTTATAACCCAGTAGTCGTGGTTACTACTACTGCACTGTCAAGCTTCATTTTAACTAAATGGCTTGCACCCCCTCCCATCAAGTTACCAGCCCACAAATGACTATCAGATACAACCGAAAATTCTAAACTTTAATTGGATTCTGATAGAAGAATGCAACATTACTTAATTTTTAATTTCTTAGCACAATGACTATTGTTTTGTACAATTTAGAC